TCCCAGTAAACCACGGTTTATCATTATTAAATGATAAGAATGTCCTGGTAGGAATGTCCGTTATTTCCCGCTCTGCTTCCTCTTTCAATCGCCGTTAAAAAAGAAGAAGATGATGAAAAAGCTCCCTATTTACAACAGCCTTTTTGCTCAGACACATTCTTATTCAGGTAAGTGCAGTTTTGGTGTTTTAAATGTTTTCTAGGGGTGTAATGGTACACTTATTCTTACCGAAAATTGTACCGAACAAATAGAGTGTCGTTTTAACCACTGCACGTGCGGAACTTAATCCGTTTCAGTTCATAGCCGTGAATAAATCTTCACTATACATTATTACTATACATTACATTCTGTAATCGTATAGTATAGTATAATAATAAGTTTTTTGAACCTTAAACAGCATAAACACATTTCATTACACCAAATACACAAAATAATGTTCTTTTTAGCAGCATCATATGACCCCTTTAAAACTATCACAGGGCTGCTGGAAAAACATCACTTGTGGGAAGGAAAAAAGGTAAACAATATTTATGTTGGTAATAACAACAACAACAACAACCATTTTTCATTTCTAATTCACGGATCGTGTATTATTTGTTTATTTGTTTGTTTGTCAAGTAGTAGTGCAATTGAATTGGCATAGATATTTCAACATTACAAATAAATGGTATATGGATAATGATGACAATATGGATTGTGTATTTCATCTCACCTTCTACCAAAATAAATAAATAAAATAAAATAAAATGTGTATAGTAATGAGATTTTCCTGTAAATAAATAAATGAAAAAGATCCTCTCTTCACTGCAGTATGCTGCCACCATGAGTACAGACGCGGAGATGGCCATTGACGGCAAGGCTGCCATTTTCCTCCGTAAGCCTGAGAAGGAGAGAATCGAGGCTCAGAACAAACCATTCGAGGCCAAGACTGCCTGCTATGTGGTTGATGATAAAGATCTCTATGTCAAGGGAACCATCAAGAGCAAAGACGGTGGCAAAGTCACTGTTATTGTGAATGACACTAAGGAGGTGATGAGTTTATCCTTTCCATTTCATGTAGATGACATCACTTCATTTCTACTCAGATTTTTCTTAATATCAAATGAATTGCATTTTTAGGAAAGAGTTGTTAAAGAGGATGAAGTCCACCCAGTGAATCCTCCCAAGTTTGACAGAATTGAGGACATGGCCATGATGACCCATCTCAATGAACCCTCTGTGCTGTATAACCTCAAAGAGCGTTATGCCGCATGGATGATCTACGTAAGTTCTGGAGCACAGTAAAACAGCATTTATGTTCATCTTGTCAGTGTTGTTGCAATCTGACCACGTCTCTGCTCATTTCAGACCTACTCTGGACTGTTCTGCGCTACTGTGAACCCCTACAAGTGGCTCCCAGTGTATGATGCAGAAGTGGTGGCTGCCTACAGAGGCAAAAAGCGTATGGAGGCCCCACCTCACATCTTCTCTGTCTCTGACAATGCCTATCAGTTCATGCTGACTGGTAAGATCTGATTTACATAATTAGACTTATATATTTGAGTTGAAAGTTCAAATTCACATTCATAGTTTTTAAAAACAATTGCTAAAACATTATTACCTTTGAATTTACAGAGAGAACCAGTCTGTCTTGATCACGCATGTATCTAATCTACTATTAGAAATGTTGAGATGAGCTATATTTTGCTCTTGTGTAACTTCTGCGTGTCTTCTCATCTTTAATGAACCAGTGGAGAATCTGGTGCTGGAAAGACTGTGAACACCAAACGTGTCATCCAGTACTTTGCCACAGTTGCAGTTCATGGTGATAAGAAGAAAGAGCAGGGTCCCGGCAAAATGCAGGTATGAGATACAAAACAAATATATTATTCTGAAAGATACTTCTGTGCTCCATCATGGTAACATGAAGTTCAAGCAGAAGCAGCGTGTGGAGCAGGCTGAGCCTGATGGCACAGAGGGTGAGACTAAATAATACCAATGTTTGTCATCACACGCAATGCTTTGATTTGAGAGATCATTGTTTCTATTTACCGTAAATAAAGAAAAGGGCGGTTTTAGTTTTCAAAACAAGAAAAGGAATGGATATTTTTTGTAACTTTTTAAATCGCAGAGGCTGACAAAATCGCCTACCTTCTGGGTTTGAACTCTGCTGATATGCTGAAGGCTTTGTGCTACCCCAGAGTCAAGGTCGGAAATGAGTTTGTGACCAAAGGCCAGACCGTGCCACAGGTATGTAGTAACATATTTCCAGCTTGTCCATGTATTTAACCTGAAAATCATTAGTTAGTCTGACTAATTATTGCAAAAAGACAGTTTTACTAAAATATTCACTCTATTCTACTTACAGGTGTACAACTCTGTAAGCGCCTTGTCCAAATCTATCTATGAGAGGAATCTTGTGGATGGTCATTCGTATCAACCAGATGTTGGACACAAAACAACAAAGAAATTTCTTCATTGGTGTGCTGGATATTGCTGGCTTTGAGATCTTTGATGTAAGAATGATTCTTTTATCATTTTTCATGGCAAACTGTGTCATATTCAGTGATCTGTAAATGGTTATTTTTCTTCCTGCAGTTCAACAGCATGGAGCAGCTGTGCGTCAACTTCACTAATGAGAAACTGCAACAGTTTTTCAACCACCACATGTTTGTGCTGGAACAAGAAGGAGGGCATTTTTTGGGAGTTCATTAACTTCGGCATGGACTTGGCTGCTTGCATTGAGCTCATTGAGAAGGTTTTTACTGGTTTATGAACTTATCAATTTCCATTTTCCATTCTCAAAAATTACTCATTTGTATCAATAAACAACATTGCTTTATAAACAGCCCATGGGTATTTTCTACATCCTTGAAGAGGAGTGCATGTTCCCCAAGACTACAGACACTTCCTTCAAGAACAAGCTGTATGATCAGCATCTTGGCAAGTGCATTGCTTTTCAGAAACCAAAGCCTGCCACTTTCCCCTGCAACATCCGCTCATTCATGAATGTCAAACACTGGCCATGGATGAAAGCTTACTACAAGATTAAGCCTCTGCTGAAGAGTGCTGAGACTGAGAAGGAGCTGGCATCCATGAAAGAGGACTTTGCAAAATGCAAAGAAGATCTTGCCAAGGCTGAAGCCAAAAAGAAGGAGCTTGAAGAGAAGATGGTGACACTGCTGCAAGAGAAAAATGATCTGCAGCTGCAAGTGGCTTCTGTGAGTTTTCCTATTTGAATTAACTGAATTTTGGCTCCATTAAATTAACAAAATACCAACTTAAAATTGCTTAGCTGGAAAGGTTCCCTTGAACAAGAGAAGAAGCTCAGCATGGATCTTGAGAGAGCGAAGAGAAAGCTTGAAGGAGACCTGAAATTAGCACAAGAGTCCATCATGGACCTGGAGAATGACAAGCAGCAATCTGAGGAGACGCTGAAGAAGTAGGATGTTTTTGTAAATTCTTACAAAAAATAATGGTTATCATTCATTTCTGATTATTCATTGTTTTTCCCTTTAACACACAGAAAAGATTTTGAAACAAGCCAGCTGCTCAGCAAGATTGAAGGTGAACAATCTCTGGGTGCTCAACTCCAGAAGAAGATCAAGGAGCTTCAGGTATTTCTTGAGTTTTGTTTTGAAACGCTATTAAAGGCAAAGCTAAAATAAAGACTAATAAGGTATCATTGATTACTTGCCGCTGTAGGCTCGCATTGAGGAACTGGAGGAAGAGATTGAGGCTGAGCGTGCTGCTCGTGCCAAGGTTGAGAAGCAGAGAGCTGATCTCTCCAGGGAACTTGAGGAGATCAGTGAGAGGCTTGAGGAGGCTGAAGGAGCCACTGCTGCTCAGATCGAGATGAATAAGAAGCGTGAAGCTGAATTCCAGAAGCTCCGTCGTGATCTTGAAGAGTCCACCCTCCAGCATGAAGCTACTGCTGCAGCCCTCCGTAAGAAGCAGGCAGACAGTGTGGCCGAGCTGGGAGAGCAAATCGACAACCTCCAGCGCGTCAAGCAGAAGCTTGAGAAAGAGAAGAGTGAATACAAAATGGAGATTGATGATCTCTCCAGCAACATGGAAGCTGTTGCTAAAGCAAAGGTTTGAGAACTGGTTTTTAAATCTGTTCAAGGAAATATATCAAATGTGGTTAAGATTCTTAAGAATCAAATGACTTTGATGTTTACAGGCCAATCTTGAGAAGATGTGCCGCATCCTTGAGGACCAACTTAGCGAAATTAAGTCCAAGAATGATGAGAACATTCGCCAGATAAATGACCTCAGTGCTCAAAGAGCAAGACTTCAAACTGAAAATGGTAACTAATTGCACAATATATATCAAACAAAATTATACAACACCTTATTTTCTCCACTAACTAATGCAGATAAACAATTATAAGTAAATCACCATCCATGTCATATATTCACATGACCCTATGACCTCATTCTCAGTGCAAATGGTAACATATTTGTTAACATTATTTAATGCATTAACTAACATGAACTAACAATGAACAATATATTTTTTATAGCATTTATTAATCTTTGTTAATGTTAGTTTATGAAAATGTTAGCTCACAGTACATTAACTAATGTTAACAGAAACAATTTAAAATTTTAATAATGCATTAGTAAGTATTGATCTTAATGTTAACTAAGATGAATAAATGCTATATAAATATTGTTCATGTTAACAAATGAAGCCTTATTTTAAAATGTTACCGTGCAAATTTATTATGTATTCATACAGTATATATTCTGGTGTAAAGCATTTCCCCAACCTATTTAACTGCAATAAATGCTTTTCTCATTATATCATTAAATGGTTTGTTTTGAATCTGCTCTGGTTTCTCAGCTCACCAGAGGCAAACAAGCTTTCACTCAGCAAATTGAGGAGCTTAAGAGGCAGGTTGAAGAGGAGGTTAAGGTAATACAGCATGATCAATACAAACACATATTTTCCACTTACTATACAACAAAGCTAATATTATGTGACTTTGTCAACTAGGCTAAGAACGCACTGGCCCATGCTGTGCAGTCAGCCCATCATGACTGCGACCTGCTCCGTGAGCAGTTTGAGGAAGAGCAGGAGGCAAAGGCTGAGCTGTAGCGGGGAATGTCAAAGGCCAATGGTGAAGTTGCTCAGTGGAGAACCAAATATGAAACTGATGCCATCCAGCGCACTGAGGAGCTTGAAGAGGCCAAGTATGAACATCATAAGAGCTGATTAATATGTGGTCATATGGAAAAAGGCTTTCATGTTAAAATGTTCACAAATTCAGGAAGAAGCTGGCTCAACATCTGCAAGAGGCAGAGGAACAGATTGAGGCTGTGAACTCCAAATGTGCATCTCTGGAGAAGACCAAACAGAGACTCCAGGGTGAAGTGGAGGACCTCATGATTGATGTGGAGAGAGCCAATGCTTTGGCTGCCAACCTTGACAAGAAGCAGAGGAACTTTGACAAGGTAAAAAGTTTGAGTCATTATGTGATATTCACATTCTAAAGCATTGCTGAAATGTGTTTTGTTGAACATTTCATAAACAAACCTGACCCTGAAATATCTCCACTAAAGGTCCTGGCAGAATGGAAGCAGAAATATGAGGAAGGTCAGGCAGAGCTGGAAGGTGCCCAGAAAGAGATTCGTTCACTCAGCACTGAGCTGTTCAAGATGAAGAACTCCTATGAGGAGACTCTGGATCAGCTGGAGACCCTCAAGAGAGAGAACAAGAATCTGCAGCGTAAGAATTCCTTTGTACAACATTTAATTAATTAACAAACTTAGTAGTGTTAAATCTGTAGAGATTCACAGCATATTTATGCTGATAATATTTTCTTTCCAACTTGTAGAGGAGATTTCAGATCTGACAGAGCAGTTAGGTGAGACTGGTAAGAGCATCCATGAGCTGGAAAAGGCCAAGAAGGCAGTGGAGACTGAGAAAGCAGAGATGCAGACTGCACTGGAGGAGGATGAAGTGAGTATCTGAAGATCAATATGTAAATCTGGCTAAAACCATTGTACTGTTCATTTTGAGGTTTAAATGTTGTTTTTTATTATTAATAGGGCACTCTGGAGCATGAAGAGTCCAAAATTCTCAGTGTCCAGCTTGAGCTAAACCAGGTCAAGGGTGAGATTGACAGGAAGCTTGCAGAGAAGGATGAGGAGATGGAGCAGATTAAGAGGAACAGCCAGAGAGTCACTGAATCCATGCAGAGCACTCTGGACTCTGAGGTCAGGAGCAGGAATGATGCCCTGAGAATCAAGAAGAAGATGGAGGGAGACCTTAATGAGATGGAGATTCAGCTGAGCCACGCCAATCGCCAGGCTGCTGAGGCCCAGAAACAGCTCAGGAACGTTCAGGGACAACTCAAGGTATGTGACTTCTCTTTGACTTTAAGTTGCATTAGTATGTTTGTATAATCTAACCTATGTTTAGTAATGACCAACAGAAAGCACACTGCAAGCTTGTTGTAAAACTATTGTTATGTTCAGGACGCCCAGCTGCACCTTGATGATGCTCTGAGAGGACAGGAAGACATGAAGGAGCAGGTGGCCATGGTGGAGCGCAGAAACACTCTGATGCAAGCTGAGATTGAGGAGCTGAGAGCTGCTCTGGAGCAGACAGAGAGAGGCCGCAAAGTGGCTGAACAAGAGCTGGTGGAGAACGCACTGGCCCATGCTGTGCAATCAGCCCGTCATGACTGCGACCTGCTCCGTGAGCAGTTTGAGGAAGAGCTGGAGGCAAAGGCTGAGCTGCAGCGGGGAATGTCAAAGGCCAATGGTGAAGTTGCTCAGTGGAGAACCAAATATGAAACTGATGCCATCCAGCGCACTGAGGAGCTTGAAGAGGCCAAGTATGAACATCATAAGAGCTG